AATTTGAAATCTAACTGCAATAACACTAATAAAGTAAAATGTGTGGTAAAAAAAAAGGATTATAATGGGCAAAAGATGCATATTTTTATTACTTCATTGCATGGTTTATTTCAAATCACAACTGATTCATTCATTTATATATTTTCTTATATATATATATATATATATATATATACAAAAGAAATGACAGTGGTGTAGTTACAGAAAATGTAGTCAGTATTGCCCCCATGTGGATGCACTTATGTAAGCAAATGCTAATATAATATTCAATGAACACATTTATTCTGTATTTGCATATACAATATTTAAATCAAATGTACAGTATACAACAAAAACAAAATAAATAAAAATAACAATTTGGGGCAAAAAATACTAAATTGTGTATTTACGGGTCATCTAGGTTTTGGTCGAGGGGGTTTACCCTTGCATTGTACAGGTGAGGAATCTTGTTGTCTAGTTTTCTGTCTCTATTGCCTAAGCAATCTCCCAGTTTCACTCACCGGCGGTTGTCCTTTCCCAAGCAAATACTGCTCCCATTCTGGTAGTTTCCGTTCAACTGAGGCCCAATAAAGAGTCTATGACAGGACAACAAAAGATCAACTTAGTTACAGGAGCAGATAAATGTTTACTTCTTTATTACATTCTTGTATCCTAAGCAGGTAAAACATTCCATGCTGGCATCTACAGCAGTTGTCTTGTCATATAAAAAAAACACGTTGTGCTATAACCGCCCCTTTTCAATTAATTATGATGGCTCCAATGGGCACACAGTTTCTCGGGGAAAGATGCTGTTGGCATCATCTACACATGCAAAAAAGCACTTCAAATGCAACATTTACTATAACCTGCTTTCAAAAATGAAACACTGCAAACAGTTTTATTTTATGAGACAGAAAATAAGGTTGTAAGCTGGTCTAATACCTCAAGGTTAATAATATCTGGATGAAGGAGCTGTCTGGTTTGAAGATTTTTTTCAGCATTCTGAAAATCCTACAAGAAATAAATACAAAATGTACAAAATACAAAAATGTCACTAAATGCATTTTAAACATATGCAATTAAAGCATTTAATCTAATTAGGCAAGAAGTTAGGCCATGAATTCTGAAACTGAAGAAAAAAAAAAAAAAGAATATGCATGTGCTGTAATTTATTAAAAAAAAAAGGGTATGCAAGACAGAAAAATTAACAAAATGGAACTGAACGGGATTTAAATGAAGTTGTTGATAATGTCATTAAGAAAAAACAAAAACAAAACACGTCACATTGTCATAACAACCGCCGCCACTATAATATCCGGGGTGCGGAAATGACCAGTAGACCGCTCGTGAACGAAAGATTAGGACAAGTGCGCCATCTACTGGTGGGAAGAGTTGATCGTTTGTTTGTTTGAATGAACATAGGCTAACTTTAGAGTGGTTTGGGTTCTTACATGTATTTATTATTATTAGTTGAATTAATGAATTATTAAATTTGAGTCATCTTAAATGATCCTTTTCCTTTATTTTGATGATATATCAGTTATAAATTTAATGCACACTAAACGCAATTACAGCTTCAAAGAATCGTTTAATTAATGAAGCACATTGGGGTAGGCCTAGTTAAAAACAGCTTTGCAATTCAGTGTTACAGCTCATCTTTACGTTGTGGTCTGTGTGCATAAAAATCAAGAAATTAAGCAGATTCACTGGAAATAAATCTGAGCTTTATAGAATCTAAGCAGAATCCATGCTGGTTCATAACACAAACACACAAATCCCTGTACAGAAAATGAGTAACAAACTTGTTTTTGTCCGTCTTTTGTTACTGCATACGTTATATTTTCAATGATTCAGCAGATACTTTATATCTACTGTAGGTTCTATACTAATGTTTACTGGTCTCACTATTTTATCAGTAGATGGACTATTGACTTTAACTGCATCAGTAATACACTAATGCTATTTTAGTGTTAAAGACTGATACAGTTCAGATGTTTATCACATTCACACTGATAATCACTGGTTTTAAATGATCCACCTACACCTACAGGAATGACATAATTTGGTGAAAAAATAGGGACTGAAAGTGAAACCTCAGAACTTGCTGTTCTGTTCGACCAGCCATCTAATCTGCAATTGATTGCAGATTCCTAACTGTCATCATGTGACAGTCCATTACACATTTCTTTCTGATTACCACTCCTATAGAGGAAATCATAAAATAAATGGGTTGCAAGACACATTAATGTATGACCAGAACAAAGCTGAAAGCCTTTTAACTTCATCTGAATCAGATTAAACCATGAAAGGCCCATTGACACTTTATAAATCAGCTTATTGAACTTGTAAAGGTAGGGAAACAGGTCAACAGATTCCACAAAAGTGAAATACCACACACACACGTCATGTTCATGTGCTGTAATTTATTAAAAAAAAAAGGGTATGCAAGACAGAAAAATTAACAAAATGGAACTGAACGGGATTTAAATGAAGTTGTTGATAATGTCATACAGATTTATTTATTTTTTTTAAGGTTTAACAGGATGTCACGTGTTAGGCCAAGCCAACTAATAAATCACAGAGTAAAAAATAAACATCACAAAAGTAAACAATCCATTAATACCTGCTCATGCTTTTTTAAATGTCACTTCCTGTGAGATGTTATTTTGTGACACAGGAAAAACGTGACTACCAGTTAAAAACTGTACTATAAAAGAGCTCTAAGGCAGTGATATATACACATATAACGTTAGAGTACACAGCAGAGAAACCTGAAGGATCTGAGCATTCCTCTCCTTCGCTGCTTGAGACATCAGACACTGCTGTTTCTTCTTAGCCTTCTGCTGTTCATAGTGTGCTTCCAAACTGCTGCAGCAGTAATGCTCTTTTCCCCAGTCTTCATGAGAATAATTACAGTCATTAAGCCGTGTAGTTTCAAAACAAGGAATGAATGATTAAAATTATGACTGTATGACTGAGAGTGGCGTTTTAATCGACACCTGCAGCTCTGTTCTCAAGAACAAACTGAACGGACTCACATATCTTCATGTTTCTGGCTGAGTTCAAACTCTTCGTGTGTATAAGAGGCCATTTGATGTAGTTTCAAAGACATGGAAAGAAAACTCAAACTCTGTTACCTGACTGAAACTTTATCAAAAGATCGCTACAACATGCATTAAAAAAATAAGAAAAAACAAAAACAAAAATCCATCTAATCTGCAATTGATTGCAGATTCCTAACTGTCATCATGTGACAGTCCGTTACACATTTCTTTCTGATTACCACTCCTATAGAGGAAATCATAAAATAAATGGGTTGCAAGACACATTAATGTATGACCAGAACAAAGCTGAAAGCCTTTTAACTTCATCTGAATCAGATTAAACCATGAAAGGCCCATTGACACTTTATAAATCAGCTTATTGAACTTGTAAAGGTAGGGAAACAGGTCAACAGATTCCACAAAAGTGAAATACCACACACACACGTCATGTTATACACTTTAGTGTCCTGAAAAGCAGTTAAAGCATTTTCTGCAATAAGAACAGTTTAGTTAAGCTAAACTAGCTAAAATCTGAGAAAAGCCACTTCAACTCCATAATGTCATTTAGATAATGCGGTCTCAAATAGAAACCACAGTCAAGTTCCTTCCTCTGCTTTGTGCTTACTCATAATCAGAGTTCACAATGTTTCATAAATTTAGAATGTGTCGGTTTAAAAACCATTTAAAGAGCCGTTTTGTTTCACCACATTTATGCATAAACACCTTTTAATAAAACAGCAGGTGTCAGTCGGTGTGCACTTTTGATAATTTCGGAATGGGGTTACATTCCCCTCTTCGGTCCAGGGGTTACGGAGCAGAAGTAACAAAGTTAAAAGTTGAGATTAAATAAGTTAACGATGAGAAATCTCCTTTTCCTCTATCCCAGTTCATGTCACTTTCACCACTGATATTTCTAATAAAGGTTCACACAAACCCCTCTATTTAACACCATAAAACAGAAGCATACCCAAATACCAGAAATATACTTAAGTGGTTTTATTAAGGCTTAAAATAAACCCAAAGTAATATACAGAAAATATACAAATATCAGGGCAATTAATCAACTTAAATAATCAAGGCGTCTGGAGAGAGCAAATGCCAAAATAACAAACAAAACAGTCTTTCTAAAAGTTATAACAACTTCCCTGGCAAAAGAAAACAAATTAAAGACAATAATCTTACCTCGCTCCCTGACTAAAGACAAACAGGTGAAAAATTTAGAAGGGGATAAACCCAAATAAATCGGCGCCCATCTCCCTGCACGGTTCGACAGAACTAGACTCACACAGAATCTTAACAGCAACGTCGTTGTAACCACACGTTAGGTTTACATTTCACAAGTTGCTTAACAGCAAATAAAACAACACCGTATCTGGGATAGCGGATAAGAGACTCGTCCGAAGCTGTGTCTCTCTGCTGTTTTATATCTGATGCACGCTGCCGCTAATTGCAATCAGCTGCGGATGATTTGGAGCGCTGCTTGGCAGAGAGAGAGAGAGAAAAAGAGAGAAAGGAGAGAAAAACATGTGACTATATCCCAACATACACAATTACGTCACGGGACGTAACAAATGAGAAAAGAAAACGTGTCACAGATCAACTCGTCATGTTAACAACTTTTAACAACTCATAGTAAAAAAGCCTCCCAGATACTTTAGCACAAATTAAGTGTTTATGAAGTCAAAGATCAGCTGTAGATCCGCAATCACAAGTCATAAAACAGTAAATTGCTCACTTCTCTATTCTAAAAAATGAACAACTGTAGACATTGAGTCAATGCCATTGCCATGTCTTCTATCAATGTTCAAATAAGTACAAATGAAGGCTATAGGTTAAAAAAGGCCTTTACAGGTATTTTGCCAAATTGGGAACAAAATAGCAGAAAGAAGCAGTTCTAGACAGAACTGGCACATTCTCTTTTTTGCTAAATGTTTTTGCTAGATCTTTTTACACATACAAAAGACTAGGAAATGGTGATTGTAAACTGTTTATTCCCACTGGACCACAAGTGTACACACTTTACAAAAGTGAAATATATTCGTGCAAGCATGTTTCTAATTTATTAAAAAATAAGCAACATACATTTAAAAAAAAAATCATACATAAAAATGTTAAAATGATTTAAACATTTACTGGAGCTAATTTTCATATAGTGCAGCCTTGATTCATCAACAGAAGTTTTCATTTAATTAATTAAAAAAATAAATAAATAAAGGAACAAATGCTGAAACCTCTATCCTCAGGAGCATCACAAGACATGCTTGGTGATGTAGCTGTTGTCATATTAACATCACCATCATCAATATTATCTTTTCATCTCACTTTTCTATGATTTTATTGTTTTCACATTTACATTTATGCATTTGGCAGACACTTTTGCCCAAAGTAACCTCCACTGTATTCAAGGCATACAGTATATTTTGACAGTTCACTATAATTACGTTTTTCCTTCATTTATTGTGTCCCTGCTGTCCACTCCCTTTGCTGCTTATTACATGTAGCATGACTGAATTTTTAACTTTTGCTATGTACCTCACCTGACAGAAACTTCTTGGGGCCCCAGACAAACTGTTCTTGGGGCTTGAAATGCTTAAAGGCAAATCTAACCAGCTCTCGTCTCTCTGACTTGTCCAAAACAGCAAACATAAAGTAATCTAGTACACTTTGTTTTAGACTTTGAAGGTGTCCCACCACAAGAGTTTCATGGAGGAAGAACTTGACCAGTGGGGCCTGGTAGTGCTTCAATCCTAGAGTCCCCAAACACTTCAGGATGCGTGTGATGCGAAGGTTATTGTGTGAATATCTGCAAAATCAAAGAAAAAAAAAACTCTAACCACTGGAAATGCCTAAAAGTACATGAAATTCAACAAAAAGGAAAAACATGACAACACAAATCTGTTCAGGTTCCTAAAGTGATCCTTCCAGTTAGGAGCCCGTTCCACCTCTCCTGTTGATTCATTGGCCAAATGTAAACCGTAGAAATCCAACATGAGCTTATATGATTTCACCAATTTACTCTTTGCTTGTTTATCTTTACGGAAAAGCTGAAAAAAAAATGGAGCAGATTAAATTAAGCATTCTCTATTTTTCAATATGCTGTAACCAGCTTCTGGTAAATAAAGTTGAAAAACCATCTAAGTGCATTTTTTTAATTGACCTTTATTTCCTTTTTGTGAGCACATGTGCTCTCCAATTCACCCCTGGCTCTTGTATTGGAAACAACCTGCAAAGTTTTAAAATGGTTAGTTGAATGATGACACTTACAACATACATAATAGTTAAAACAGTGTTAACTAGAACTCATGGATGAAGTTGAACAGGATCTAACCATTGAATGTAGGAGTGAACATCTTCCAGCCTCTCATATTCACCCCACCACTGCTGGTGAAATTCATCAATGTGAACATCTGCACAAACAAAGGTAATATGTTAAAGCCCTTCCTTGAATGACACTTCTAACAGGTAAATGAAAACCCTAAATAGTGTGATTTAACTACAAAATGAGGGCAATGCCGTATCGTCAGGTGAAGATTTTATTCGACCACAGTAGAATGCTAGGTTATAGAAGCGGCCCTTGAAAACAACAACAACAACATTAATAATAACACTACACAAACCCATTATCAAATATCTTCTCCAAATCAAGACTACTTAGTGAACTATATGAAATGAGTTTTGTGTAAATGATACTCTACACATAGTGTACACTGAAAGTGGCTAATTCTGAGTATAAATGGTACAAACTTACTTTATTACTAGATTACTTACTTTATCTTGTTCACCATCATCATCATCATCACTGATATTATTACCATCCAAGCCCTAAAATTAGAAACAAACACAATATGTAAGACTACAGCAGGCTCTGGCAACATTTAGGCATTTCCTTTTGTATTTTTTTAGATACTCATCTATGTGTTTTTCATATGCTTCAATGGAGTAATGGGAGTTTGGCATGTTAATTTGACAAAGGAGAGTGGGGTAAGCCATGTCAATGGGTAAGTATTCCAAGTCATGATTTCTGGTCCTCCGACTCTGGTCTTTTAGTGGTCCCCCCTACGCGTCTACGCTCTATGGGTGATCGGGCCTTTTCTTCCTGTGCTCCAAAACCCTGGAATTCTCTTCCCATTGAGATCAGACAGGCTAAATCTTTTATTGTTTTCAAATCTGCTCTTAAAACTAATTTTTCAGAATAGCTTTTAAGTGATTTTTCTGTGTTATATGTATGGTGTTTATTTTATTTATTGTTATTATTATTTCTATTACTATTATTATTATTTTATCTGTGTAAAGAGCTTTGAGATGTAGTTTTTAAAGGCGCTATAGAAAATAAAGTTTATTATTATTATTATTAAGATGTGTTACCCCATTAATATAAGAAACTGTACACACTTTTTGCTTTTTTTATGCTTATTTGAGTTACAAGTAATAAGTCGCATTAGGTTCGTTTCATTTCTCCTTACCTAGAAAAGGACAACTGCATTAAAATGTGGCACAGCTTTACCCCACTCTTTCTTATTTGAAGGAAACTCACTCACTCAACTATGTCGAAAGTCTTGCATGTGCCTTGCAGCATACATGTTCCTACGACTCCATTTGTGAAACACCTGTAAACACACACAGAAATCCCAAATGAGACTGTTGCTTGTGAAATCGTTTCATATTCATGGAAATAGAAAGCGGAAAGAATAGTAAATAGCATAATAACGTATAGCCTACCGTACTAAACAAGATAAAGTGAATAATCGTTTCATAGTACAGATCTGGGGAAAATAAATAAGGCATTGTAGTCTAAACATACCTTCTTTCTGGGGGTTTTATTTTCGTATTTATGCTCCCATGTGGAGTCATACTCGCACTCATCATCTGACTCCATGTTAATCTGACGAGTGTATCTCAGACCCCGTTAAATAAGAACAAGCCGATCAAAGTAGTCAAAGTACAAAAAAACCTTGACAGAGCACAGAACAAACCCCTTATTATAACCTTTCTAAAGCACATCAAGCGAGTATAACTAATTGAACCGGAATAACTAGTAGAACAACGCATGCTCAGCCCTTCCCCTGTCAAGAAAGTTGAATCTCATGGTAAACCGAAAGCATTTCTTGTACAAAAAACAAACAAACAAAAAAACAGGGCTCGAGTTGATTCAAGGGTTGCCAGGTCTTGTTTAAACGCCCGCCAAAAGTTTAAATCCAAAAGAAGATGAGTCTAAGTAACAGTTTATTTTCTAGGTTCTGCACAACTAATATTTATTTAGTAATTTACAATTAATATGTTAGTGCAGTGTTCTAGGCACTGAATTGTTAACTTGTGCACTTCCTGCTGTGTAGTGATTTAAATAGTGCGCATGGCTTTTGTTGCTTTCTGAGCATTCTGAGTACATAGAGTGTGAGAGTTTTTAGCATCTCGAGTGCTGGACCTTTATCATTTTAGCACACTCACTTTCAGTGTTGGGGGTAACGCATTACAAGTAACGCGAGTTACGTAATCAGATTACTTTTTCAAGTAACTAGTAAAGTAACGCATTACTTTTTAATTTACAAGAGAATATCTGAGTTACTTTTTCAAATAAGTAACGCAAGTTACTTTTTTTTCCAATTTATTGATTGACAGCTCTCCTGTCCCCATGTTGAGAGAAACGCAATATTGTAATGCATTACTTTTAAAAGTAACTTTCCCCAACACTGCTCACTTTTGGTTTTGGGATCTTTGTTTTGTCCTGGGTGATGATAGCTTGGGTCTTGGGGGATAAGGTGTCTTATAGTCTTGTAGCCTACTGAGACTGAATGGAAATGAAACTGAACAAATGATGAAACTGAAGCAACACTCTCTGGAATCTACTTTCAGGGCACTTCAGTCAAAGTGTTTGACAATTTGAGATTAAATACATTAGCTTTTGGGCAAATCTTTCAAGTCAATAATAAGGTACACCCCAAACATAATTACAAATCTCAGAGAAGGCTGTTTAATAAACACTGATTTATTCAATGACTAAATATTAGCACCTGACAATATCATGTTTATAGTGGCCCCTAGTGGATATAACCAATTGGGTTTGTAATTTTAATTGTGTACTTATAGTTTTAGGAAATGTGTCTAAGAATTAAAGATAATTAGTCAAACAGACAATCATAAAAATATGTGTATTTACTATGAAAAAAAAAGTATTTTAATGATTGTTTACAGAAAAACGTAATTGGTTGGTCCCTGCAGTATCTCTATCCACATGTTGCATAGAACCATTGCAGGAGTGAGCCTCTGCTCAAATATATTAAATGGTCTTCAGTAAATATCGTAATCATTAAATTAATAATCTAAAGTAGTAATAAATCAATCCAGAACTTACAGAATTAAATTGAAAATGCGTATTAATTTCCAATCCATGTAGAGCTGTACTCCCAAAAATTAAAATGTACTGAAATTCAGAGAAACTGCTGTTAGTGTAATTAAAAAAAATATATTATAGTTATAATATGAACTATATTATTAACTATATTAACTATAGACCATTTTTCAGTATCAATTATTATTATATACACAAAATTTCAATGATGTATTAGTTAGACAGATAATTTAATAGGCTAAATAATGTTATTCTTTTTAGACTTAAATAGAGGCAAAGATTATCTGAAAAGTTATTTTTGGGGAAAATGTATTCTACTACTACTAATTAAAATAGGCATGACTAGTCATAATTAATTATGTAATTATTGTGGTTTTGTCATAAAAAATTGTAATGTCTTACTGTCATTCACGTTCATGAACAGAAAAGGAATCAATTCTTAAATTCAGAATTTTGTCCGACCCTGTTATGACATATTGATTTCAAATTGATGTTTCAGACATCAGAACTTTTTTGTGGCTGATGTCATGATTGGGCATTATACATATTGTTGCAATAGCGTGATATGAACAGCAGATGGCTCTGTGTCATAAACCTTTTCTCAAAGCAGTAACTGCCTAAGAGCTAATATCCCTATGGTTCATCATTCTCTATTCAAATACTGTACCTGCTGCTAATACACTTCTCAAATGTCACATTTGGAATCAGATAAAACGTCATTTATTTAAATCCATTTCACACCAGGATTAAATTTGAATGAAATATTAGCTCAGTTTACGAATGCTAGTTAGTTAATCAAGTCTGTCACATTTGACACGCTGTAGACTGACAACCTAGAGCATCAGAACATGAGCCACTGCCATCATATTAAAAGTAAGTGAAGTCACTTAATCTAATTACTGTACACATAGTCATTTAAGATAATCTGGTTCCATAAGCAAAGTAAATATGTTGTGTTAGTATATGACTCCCTGCTCTTTGTTTTTCATTATGATTGGATGGCTAATATTTGTCTTTATGTCTACCTTTCCATAAGATTAAGTCGTTTGTTTTTCAATTTTCTGTTCTCAAAACATTCCCATTTCTCAGCACGTCATCGACTCACGTGTTCTGGATGAAGCTCAGTTTACGAATGCTAGTTAGTTAATCAAGTCTGTCACCCCAAAAGAGGTTGTGTTAATATTTAAAAAAAAGCTGTTTTCAATATAATTTGAAGTAGGCTTGCTACAAAAAGTGCTAGACCAAAATATAACACAGTTCGTACTAAGGTATGCAGCATTTCATAACAAGTCACATTTTCTGCAGGCAAAAGCCATCTTTTATATATCAGACATATACACTGCACACAGTATGCGTACTACCTGCCATACGTAATTTCTGTAGTCATGTCCACATATGCAGAAGCATTTTCCCTTTGAGTTTATAATGTGTAGTAGTGGATTATTCTTGACAGCTTTATGTAACAGCATGTCCTTTGTGGGTGTGTTAATAATTAATTTGCTTGATTTTCTTTGTTCAGGGTTTTTTGAACAGCAATATCTTCAGAGACGTCCATACAGCAGAGCATTTTCAATGTTTTTCCCTGTATAAAACCAGAGAAACTTGAATGCAGGTTCAACCTTAATGCAGTGTTATTGTTTTCCAGCTCCAAAAAAAATCTTTAGCTCTTAAATTTTGCATGAGGTAGTATGTTACACTGCCGGACAATGAGATTCCAGAACGCTATAAGTAAAAACGTGCACTCGCTGGGAAAAACACTGTGTTTTCCACTTATGTTAGCATATTAATTAAAAATAATGGGTAATAAAATATTCAATTAGACATCAAAACAACATTACCATTTTTATAAACCTTTTCCAAGATGTTTTACAGGCTTAATCACACATGCTGAATTGGAAATAATTATTACAGCACAGGAGTGATGTCTTACAAGTTTGTTATTTAAAAGCTAAGCACATCAACAGCTGCCCTAAACACCAGGTACCAGGGCCAACGGCTTTAGTGTTAAGAAAGCAGTTTAACTGCATTAAATTGATCAATAATGTAAGATACTGTTTAAAATGTTGAAACATTCAGCTCTAGTCGTTTAACAGGGATATTGAGTTCACTAAAGGAAACCATCAGACCTCTTCTGCTTTTATCTAACCTGACCATGTACTGTATTGCTTCATCTCATGACGTATTTGATTCTATGCACAGCCCGAGCAAAAGCAATAAGATCATAAGACAGGGCTTAGTAGCAGGACCTGTACAACTATTCAGCCAATCAGCTCTTTTCACCGACAGAGCTGACATATTAGTGACCTTTTTATATTTTATATATTTGTACAATTATTATATATATATATATAATGCATGTGAGGGGGACCTTGAAATATTGTGTTGGAGCGGGTGTCTTCAAGTCAAAAGAGAATCATTGGTCTAGTTATAGTAATAATATAATACTTCAGCATTCCAGACCCAGAAATGAGAAAATGGTCCATAGTAACACAAAGTGAAATGGGGGAGCTTAACAAACCATAACCTTTCTGAATGTCATTTACTTTAAAGTAATTTTCACACAAAGCTAATAGTTACTCCTTTGCTTTTGACCATATGAGTTTTTTTTTAATACCAGTGGTTTCAGCCTTGTAATTTTTGTGGTATCTGGCCTATCTACACCTAATTACACACCCTGACATAGACAGCAAGCACGTTTCCTTGTGATATGAGACATTTAGAGGTGATTGGAAAGTTCAGTCATGATTTGTTATGATAGGACCTTCAGAAGACCCCTAAGGCTTTATCTTTTCATAGACCACTTAATACTGTAATTGCACATCACATTTTCCACTTATAAAAGTCTATTTCAAAACTTGTCCATCTGGCAGAATTTGAATGGGAACAGATAAAGACAGCCTACCGAGATAAAATTTGTTAAAACCCTAGGCATTCGGTCCAAAAGATAACAAGCGCATCTTGAGAGGATTTATTTTTTTATCTTAGCAAAATAAACTAAAAGGACAGAATAGAGGAGAATAACTACAAAAGTTCTTCCAGGGTAGAAATATGAACAGAGAATTATTCATGACCTCAGTCCATAAAAACTTGTAAAAGAATGATGCTACAATTTGTCAGCACACTTGATCTTCAAGAGAGGAGGGTCGAGTCCGATCCTTTGCAGCGACTCGTCTCTAAATAATTCAACATGCTGTGGTCCAGCTTCACGCCGTTTATCTCTGCTCGACTGACAACCATCAAACTTGTCACTCGCTTATGTTTCGTTGCATTGAAGGGCTCTATTGATTATGCCTGAAGATTCACGTTCTCTGAATGACTAAACAACAAATAAAACTATCTCTGGCCTCCAACAGCTAACTGTTTACTTAGCTGCAATGGCTCTAATAAGAAAAAGTCTCAGTTTATTTGCTTGGCAATGTAGTTTAAATAAAAAGCAGTGTAAACGCTAAAACAAAGTATCTTTGCAGTATTCGACAACACATGATCACTCTTCTATTGTCTCATTAAAAACTCAATAGAGAAAAGTTTGGTGCTTTTTAGGTTGCAGTTTTTATGGTTGGCGAATTAGCATAGATTTTTCATGCCATTTACAAGCTCTCATATCTAAGAAAGCTGGTTCAAATTAGCATAAAATGCATTTGTTCTGCTCAAAGGGGTAAAAGAAAATTGTGCACTGAGTTGCCAGGGAAACCAGTAAATGTTTGCAAATGAGGAAAATCACTGGGCAGAATGAA